CAGTTTCAAACATAGCATCTTTTTCAGTATGGTAAAAACATCACATGCCTAAGAAATTGGCTCTGCTGTTCATGGGAGTTTTAGGGGAGTTGAAGCTTTGAGCAGACGAGACATTGGAGGGGTACAGCTTTGTTTTGATATCCATTGTTTTAAACCATTTGATCCCCCAGCATAACTGGAAACCTGGCTGTGAAGAACTGGAGGATACAGGTTCTAGATATTGAAATGAGACCCTTTTATTTGCAAGCTTTTACACCGCAAACCTGAAAAAGCAAGTGTGCTCTTTAGATATCCCTATGTGGTCATAGCAGAGCTCTGTCAATTGAATACACAATCGATAGCACGCTGCAATGGCAGCATTTTCCCAACACACTGCTGCAGTGTCAATGCGTTCGCAAGACCTACCAGCATGTGACCAGCCAATAAACCCCTCCAAAGGAAGAAGGCTCAGAGGAGACAGGCAAGAGCCCATGAAGCTCAGAGGATAATGCAGGCTGTGACTGCCCACAGGTGTTGCAAAGAATGCCGACTTTATCTCAACACAAAGAGGGCTGGAGGGTGGCCTTTATTTGAGATAAACAGCTATGTCAGTTGAGTGCACCAGCTGGTAGTGTAACCATTTATCCCCAAGTTAATTGAAAGAGTGTTTTTTTTCAATCAGACCAGCACAGGGAACAGCGTACACACGGCTCACCACAACAGAGATTATAAAAACTAAACCACTAACAAAAGATTTTGAAAGATAGTAATGGTGTTTAGCTGTTTTCAGCCCACATATTTCTTTCCAGTGACTGGGGACACCCAGCATCCTGATGGTGAGTGTGTTACAGACAACGGTAATGGAGATCACATCGATATTGTGATTGAACTGTATATTGCAATTGTTATATTTTGCTAAGTTTAACTTACATTTGTATTGTGATTTCAGTGTATTTTGTATCACTGATAAGTCAGAAAAAGTATCTAGCATCAGTTATAAGTAAATAAGTAAATTTGATATGAAACATTAACAAGGAAAGCCAAGGCAGCCCTGGAATTGACTCTGGCGAAAAGTGTCAAAGCCAATAAGAAGGGTTTCTTTAAGTACATAGGAGGCAAAAGGAAAACTAAGGAAAATGTGGGCACACTGTTGAACGAGACAGGTGCTGTGGTGACAGACGATGCAGAGAAGGCAGAGTTGCTGAATGGCTACTTTGCTTCTGTCTTCACTGTTCAGGCCAGTCCTTGGGAGTCCCAGACTTTGCAGGTAAAAAAGAAAGTCTGGAGGAAGCAAGATTTTCCCTTGGTTGATGAGGAGCAAGTTAGAGACCAGTTAGATAAACTGGATATCCACAAGTCCATGGGGCCTGATGGGATGCACCCACGAGTGCCAAGGGAGCTGGGGGAAGTCATTGCTGGGCTGGTCTCCATCATCTTTGAAAGGTCCTGGAGAACAGGGGAGGTGCCTGAGGACTGGAGGAAAGCCAATGTCACTCCAGTCTTCAAAAAGGGCAAGAAGGACGATGCAGGAAACTACAGGCCGGTCAGCCTCACCTCCATCCCTGGAAAGATGATGGAACAGTTTGTTCTGGGTGTCATCTCAAAGCACCTGGAAGAAAAGAAGGTTATCAGAAGTAGTCAACATGGATTCACCAAGGGGAAGTCA